ATTATTAGCAAGTACTTATTTAATACTACCATTTAATTTATATAAGATAATGATTGGTTTAACTTCCTGATATAAGAATCTCCAACTAAATTTTAAAAATTTGCAATTGCTTTAAATATTATTTATATACAGGATTTAAATTCTAAAATAAATGGCTACCTTGCATACATTCTTTTTATGTGTGCTATTTCACTTTCTTTAAATAATACTTTTACCCAATTAATAATTGTATCATTTGTTATTGTATTGTTTATATCTGATCTTGTTAAAAAGTATACAGAGTAATCTTCTGATCCTAGTATAATGCAACAAACTATTAAGATAAAAAAAAGAAGTTAATATACATTTAATCTACAAGCAACCCAGAAAAACTTTTTTTACCTCTTTTTGTCATTATTGTATTTTTTGTTAAAAAAGAAAAAAAAAAAATTGCAAACCCAAAATAATATGTTAAGCAAAAAAAAAATTCAATATATTTAATTGCAATTATACAAAAAAAAAATCACAAGGTTTTAGCAAATAGTTCTTTTGAAGTAAGACAAAAAAAAAAAAGTATCAATATATATTTACTAAATGAACAGTTTTTTGTAAAAATAAAAAAAGAGTTAAGACAAAAAAAAACACCCAATTTATATTTATGCCAAAATTATGTAATATACAACTTGCCTCTTTGAATTTTTTTTTAAAAAAAATTACTAGATTAGTATAGTATAGCTAACATCTTAATAAATAATCAATTGATTTAAAGTAGGTGTCATCTATACTATATTTAATTATAAATTTTTCAAGTCATGCGAATAGTAGCAGAGTATGGTTTAGTAAAATATATAGTAGAGTATATGTTAAATTATGTATAAATTAATATATCATGTATAGTATGCAAACATATATAAAATTTATGCAAATTCGATTTTAAGGAAAAGTAATGTATTGTGTCAAATTTTTATAAAATTAGATATTTAGTGTTTATAATGTTTATTTGATAGTTTAAAAGCCCAAAATCCAATATGGCTATTAAATAGCAAAATTCAATGATCATAACAATGTTTTTTTTTCTTTTTTTAAAAATTGCTTTTAAAATGTCTATTAATGAATTGATGATACCTTCGGATGATATTAGTTCTGATGAGGAATCTATCCTATCAATTAGGATGAAATTTTTTTCAAAGAAATAATTCTTTTAATAAAACTGATAAAAAGAAAATTTTTTTTAAAAAAAATAATTCTTTTAATGAAAACTTTAAGAATTTTGACATCAATGATACATTTGAAAATACTTAGAGCAGACCAATTTTTTTAGGTCCAGACCAGTCTTAATCTAAGACCAGGGAACAATAACATTCATAAATGTAAAACTAAGTATCGTCCTTGACATCTATAAAAAATTTTGGTATTAGAATAATAGTAGAGTATGGTTTAGTAAAGTAGTGGAGTATGCTAAAAAAATCGCATTTGAGTATATAAAATTTGCATACTATACTCATAATATGTATTATATCTAAAATAGTATAGTTGTAAAGAATTTAATTATATGTGATCTCATGAAAATTCTACTGTAATTAAAATTAAAATATAACAGTATCCCAAAAAAAATTTAAAAAAATGAAGATTTTGCAGGATTGTATACTAAGATTTTATGAGATAGCTTTATTATAGTGATACGAAAACTAATGTTATTATTTCAAACTTTTTTCTACATGCAATTATGCTAGTTTACCAAGTTCTTTGAGAATTGTTTTTTGACAAATCCAATTTTTTTTTGAATATCTTGAGATGGTAATATAGAGTGTTGTGCTTTATAATGTAAGAAATAATCTGAACTCTCTATTTCAGGTGAATTCTAGAAGTTTTTGGGGAAAAGATCTGATTGGTTTGGATCGGTCTAGACTAGCAAAGTCTTAAGACAGAAGACCAGACTGAACTAGGCCGGGCTGTTAAAATCTCTAAAGTTTTACATTATTTATACAGTTTAATATAAACTATAATATACCGTAATATAATACATAGATTAAAAAGAGTATATGATATAGAATACATAATTTTCTGCTTAATTTAATTATTTATACAATAAAAATAGTTTTTTTTTTAAAAAAATAATATAATATATATAATTAGTGATGGGACTACAGATACAAAATTCAATTGTCACGTGCCATGGTTATTAAAAAATTTTTGAATTCTTTATAATTATTGAAAGCGACAATTAAGAATTACATTTTTTAGCAACGTTTGCCCTATCAATATATATACAGTAATAGTAATAATTATATTATTTATATAATTACCTTTTTTTTAATTAAAAAAAATCATACTATAACTGATAGAATAAAAAAAATATAGTATAATTTTTACATTATTTATACGGAATTATATATTTGTAGCCATGGCTACATGTAGCCATATTCATAAAATCGCTTATATCTTAAAATTTTACTAGGGTAACCCTGTTGTGTAACTAAGCAAAAATGCTCTCCTCGCAATTTTACCCTAAAAAAACTCTAACCCTAACCCTAACCCTAACCTAACCCTCCCTAACCTAACCTAACTCTAAACCTAACCCTAATGTTAATAGGCTGTACAATTTTTCTATAAAAAATAGCATGGCTACATGTAGCCTATGGCTACAAATAAATTAATTCTATTTATACAGTTTAAAATAATTTAAGCAATATTTTAGATAATTCTAATTTCATATATATTATTAATATTGGTGACTATGCGTTAGTTTGTCTGTTTTTTTTCTAGTATACATTTTAGTACTGTAACAATCAAACCATCTCTATACAACTAATTGATGATAATAAATAAATGTTTGTGTTCTTTAGAAATAGTGACACGCACACTATAATAAGATAATATTCTCAAATATATACATAAAAAATAGCACAAATTATAAATTTCATCCACTATTTTTTCCTTTTAAAACTTATTCACTATCAAATTTCTGTTCGAATTGCCAAGCTCAAATAGGGAATGGAATAGGAAAACCATCATCTTTCACATAGGGGGTTTCTTAGCCCATTCCTCAAACACTGTTCTCATGTGATTGATACGATAGCTCAAATGATCTTAATCTATATATTCTCTCAAAAATAAAATAATTTTTCATAAATAAATAAATACCATAAATAAATACTATAAATAATAAATACTGTAAATAAATACTGTAAATAAATACTGTAAATAAATACTGTAAATAAATACTGTAAATAAATACTGTAAATATATAAATAAATACTGTAAATATATAAATAAGTAAATACTGTAAATATACAAATAAATACTGCAAATAAATAAATAAAAAAATACTGATAAATACTGTAAACAAATGAATAAATTTACATGGGTGTTTGTACACCGGTATTAATATAACTGTATAAAACTGTTCTCAAGCATCTAAATCAATTGATCTAATAATAATCGTGATGGCGATATTTATATAATTAAATACTTGAGCATACTGTTCGCTGTACTACCTAAAAAACCCAATGAAAAAAATTTCTTTTCGATCAAACGTTAAAGTTTCAACTTTAGTTACGTCGTCAAATATGGAAAAACATCTCAAACATTTCAGTTTTAGATCTTCTTTACTGAGAAGATATTTAATTTAAATGAGTGAAAAATGGAATAATAGTATTAATTATAGTTTGTATTCATTACACTCATATTAATGTGTCGATTATTTGTTTTAAAAGCTTCGAACATTAAAAAAAGTGCTATCTTTTTAGACCGCTTAGAAATTTGTTGAGAATTAATTATTTATTATGTTTGATATGTAAAAATGTAAAAGTAATGCTTGAGCGACCTTTATCAATGGTAAATTTTTGAAGAAAAAAGGTGGCTTGTGTCTCACAAATTTGTTCATCGAAATGGTGTTTCCGACTAATTAATAATTTTTCTTCCGATCCATTGAGTGAGGTGTTTGAGAATACCCTAAGCCAATCAAAATTTTTACAAATGAAAATCAAACCCTTGTTTATAGTTAGAGTAAGAGTGAGGCTTGGGGAGAGGCATAGTTTATATCAAAATTTTATAGATAATTTTTTTTTTTTTTTTTTTTTTTTTTTTTTTGAAGCCAAAAGATGGAATTTGCGTGTATGAACTAGTGTACAAAAATAGAAATTCTCAATAAATAAATAAATAAATGAAAATTATATTTTAAAAAAAAACCCAAAATATTATATTTTATAAACAATATATTGAATTCAATTTTTATTTAGTATTTGTGCTACTTGGGGTGCACATGGTGTTATTTGAGTCAAAAAAAAAACAATTTTCAAAAAAAAAGACCAAATAACGCATATCTGCATTATTACGCCTCTTAAATATAATATCGTGTCCCAAAATATCGCGTTATTACGCGCAAATACGATATTGATTCTAACTGACAATTATAATAATCTCATAGTGATAAATTAAGATAATGAAAATCAAATGTTCAAAAATCTGCTGAGTCGAGAAATCTCAAAGGAACATTTCAAGTTGTAAATTGTCATAAGTGGATGAACATCACTCGAATAAAAATAAAAATGAAGCTGCCGTAGATGTAATGATGACGATAAAGGTAATGAAACGCTCGAGGAAGGAAAAGATATTAGAAAATGGAAAGACGAAAAATGTTCATCAGCAAGTAAAAATGTGCTAAAAGGAAGCATTCATCGATTATCAACAGTCTGCTGCATTGGGTCTGACCGATGGTATGAATACTTGAATCTTTGTTATAAGAAGGAAATTCAAATTACTGTAAAAAAGACGAACATGAAGCGTCTATAGATCATAAAAAATCGGGAATGGGAGCCAAGCTGATGAAGCATATGCATTGACATTTTTGAGAAAAAAGAAGCAAGATTGAAAGGGGCGAACATAAGATGTCACTTATTACAAGAAATCACCAGAGACGGGTGAATCTGAAGGATCAGTCAATGTGTTTATCCTGAATGCAGTGATGAAACCAACGAAGATATATAAAAATTGGTAGTATTAAAGTAATGAAGAGAAATCGTTAAAAGTCAAAAAAGATAAATGCAAAGAAAAAATTAAAGGCAACGAAATCACAGTTACTAACCGATACAAGAGAAATTTTGAGTTAACTTTTGCAAACATTGATTAAAGTAGATTTGGATACTAAAAAAAATATTTATCAAACATTCGTTCATTATTAAAGATCTTTTGGGATAGGAAACACCAATAAAATACATAATTCTAGCTATGGATATCAAAATGAAATTGGGGTTGAAAGGGAGAATGTAAGGCATCCATTCATTATCAAGAACCTGTAAATATAAGTGATATTGATGCGATAAACCACCCTGGATGCTGTAACCAAAAATGATCAGTTCGAAGTATACACTAAAAATGGTAGAAAAGTAAACACTCGTTCTACAAGAGACCTCA